GCGATATACAATTCACCCAACGGACACCACTTGAAGTAATCGATTCTGATGACAGTTTGCCATAATCTCCAACTCCACCAGTGGTGTTCGCGTGAAGAGCTTGTATACGGTTAATGGACTTATCTAGTACACCTAATGACAGACACTGCAACAGAACCTCACGATCCACTGAGTGAAATACCGCTTTAAGGTCGAGAAATAATTCTATTGTGGAAAGCCTGAACGTGTGTCAATGTTCTGGAATCTGACGTAGTGTGAATATGAGGTCTAAACAGCCACTTTCAGGTCTGAAACCAGCCTGGTTTTCTCTTGCCTGCTCTTCATTAGCTCTATTTAGGCGTCCAAATATTATCGAGGCTAACATCTTAGACACTATATTAGTTAAACTGATTGCTCTGTAACTGTCACAAGAGGATTTTTGTCTGTTTTTATAAATTGGGACAATAAGGGATTGAGACCGGTCAATTATTTGGAATGACAGTAAAGAAGGACTTGGCACCCCTAAAAGTAGTTCTAAAACATCACAGTTTTGAGTAAACGAACGCATAAACCGAAAAATAACCTCATTTCTTATACAGGACGACATAGTCTATAATGAAGCCACAGATATATATATATATACAACAATTAGTACTTTTTCCGTTAACTTTAATAAAGAGTAACCTGTTAATCTCAACAAACACATAGCTGAAAAATTTATTGCCATTTGATATTTTAGGACAGTTGAAAACCAAAAAACGCTCCCACTGACAGTAGTTCAGACGAGGTAAAAGATGAGTTTTACAGAAAGCTTTCGGATCACCTCTAAAATGTTAGGCACTCTGATATAGTTATAATGACTGGTGACTTCAATGCTCAAGTAGGTAGACTAAGTGGAAAGATAAGACATCTAGGTGGATTTTATGGTGTGGCGGCCCAAAGACCAGATAATGGCGATCGTCTGCTGCAACTACGCTCAGCTAACCGCCTATTCCTAGCAAATACTAACTTTAAGCATAAGGAAAAACATCTTTTGACCTGATGACCCCCAAAGTCGCCTCAATGTTGGACCCAGCTAGATCACATCGCTATCAGCCATCGATGGAGAGAGAAGACGGTCACTCGTTCTGGGGCACATGTTTAGATTCAGATCATGCCCTAGCGAGAGCGCGTATTTATTTGCGGCTTACTGGACGTAGGAAAGACACCGCAGGGAAACCTCTTAGGGTTCTACTTAATGATAGCATAGCTAAGAATGTATTTCAGGAGCAACTAGATGAACAGTTAGGTTACCATGTTAATGATTCCCACCCCGAGGCTGCTTGGAATGATATCCATCTCAGTAGTATCTACCAAATTGATGGATGCTCGAAAACTCATTCCGCCTGGCTCTGAACATGACGAAGAGTGAAGTCACCTTAGGCGCAGATTGATAAAAGAGCCTACGCAACCTGTTGATTTCGACAAACACACAGAATAATTACAAGCTTTAAATTTATTCCCATTTAATATGTTTTAAGTCAGTTGAAAACCAAATTTTTAATAGAAGAAAACTTATTAACTTGCTCCAGAGACGACAGTTAAATTTAGTGAACTGAAAGTGTCAAAAAACACTAGTATCTACATCATGTTAATCAAAAAATATCTTATTCGAATAGAGTTAATAAGAATAGTTTATTCTTCATACGAGCTTTGTTTTGTGGTGTAGGAATAGGTTGGAAGAAACTTAGGGGCGGCCAGACCAAAACATTGCACAAATCCATGAAGTCACTGACAAGTGGACTGAGTCATGTTGGCAGGTGTCGACTATCTGGTTAGGGTCCGCCAGACGAAAGTCACCAATGGTTAGAGACCTTGAACGATATTGGCTAAAAATCGTTTGCAATGGCGCAGGTGCATTCATTCTTTGTGTTCTCTCAAATCCTAAACTTTTTAATTCTTCATCACTTTATGTTTATCTTTTTAAGTCTATTTCACTAGATTCTACCTCTCAGACTACTGCTAATACCTTTACTACCTCTACTAGTATTGGATTTGAATTAACAATTACATCTCTGCGCTAATGTGGTATGGCGACATGAACTGATGTACGCACACGTACGAAGTTCTACGTTGCTATTGATTGACTGACTGATAACCACTATATTATCAATTTAGAAATGAACAGTCATAATAAAAATGGGAATTATGACGACCAGACTACATAATGTTTGCATCTATAGAAAATATGGAGGATCTATTTAAGGCAGTTTGAAAACCTTGATTCCAAACCAATGCTACACATGGGAAATAAATTGAGTACAAATCTATTGTTGATCACTAGATAACATGGAACGTTGCTCCACTGACTTGTGGATTAAACCTATAGGTTGAGGGTTCAGAGAGTAGCCTCCTAAGGAAACCACTTACTTCACTCTGGGGAACCGGGAAGTATCTCAGCCTATACACAAATTCAATAAGTTGTGTTGCACATAAGTATTTCGGTGTCCGTTTACATCAGTAGTTAAGTAATTAAATGGTCCTCAAATGCCGTGGTATAGCCGAGAGTGACGAGAGTTAGCTCTCTCTATCTATCTATCTCGAAGTGCTCAATTTTATTCATGAGTAAATAACCACTAACAGCCAGGTCCTACTCAATGCGCTCGTGGCAAATGTTCATAATAACGAAATTGACAGGACGAAAAACGAATGTCTTGCAGTGGTTTGAAAAAAGGTTCCATGGTTTACAAAAAAATGACCGAGGACAGTTGGAAAAACTTCATTACAAACAAATGGTGCAGATGGGTTTTAGTATCCTGACTGAATCAATGGCGTATGAACCTAATGTTGGTCACCCACTGTCATACGACCCAATCAACTAACGTTGCTCCATTGACTTTTGAGTAAAAGGCTTGGGGAATGTCAGTTTAGGGTAGTCCGGTGGTAATCTCGGCCCACACGCACACACATTCAATCAAACCTGTGTCGCACATAAATGTATATGTACTGCTTTGTACTAATGTTTATGTGTTTGAATAAGTAAATGTGTTCAGATTAATAATAAGCCTAAAGACGGCATTCGACTAAGTGGATCGTGAGGTTGGGTTGCATTAACACCTGAACTAGTGATAGGAAGTAAAGTAGTCGAACGTGTAGACTGCTTTACTTATCTGGCAGGTCTCATCAGTGCTGATGGCCTGGTGACTGATGAAATCTCAGCACGGATACAGAAAGCTCGATTGGCTTTTTCCAAGTTGCGTCATCTTTAGCACAGGTGAGATATCTGTTTGCTGACTAAAGGACGAGTGTACTGTGCAGCAGTTCGCTCCGTCCTACTATACAGATGCGAAACATGGCCGGTGAGATTGGAGGACATTAGTAGATTGTTTGTCTTCGATCTTAGGTGTCTCCAATGCATTCTTCGTACATCCTTGGACAGCCGATTGAGCAATGCTGTCGTTCGGAAACGAGTATTATGTAGGGATGGCAAATCAATAGATGAAGTAATGAAACTTCACCAGTTGAGGTGGTTGGGACATGTGTTGCGTGTGCCTAACCACCGTCTGCCTCGTCGAGATTTGTTTTGTGGTGTAGGAGTAGGCTGGAAGAAAGTTATGGGCGGCCAGACCAAAACATAGCAGAAATCCATGAAGTCAGTGAGAGGTGGAATGAGTTATGTCGGTAGGTGTCGACTAACTGGTTGGAGTCCGCGAGATGTTAGTAATCGATGGCTAGCGACCTTGAACAACGACATGGCTCAAAATCGTTTGTAATGGCGCACAGATGCATCCACTCCTTGTGTTCTCTCAAATTCTAACCTGAATTCCTCATCACATCTCTACCTTTCTCCTTCTAAATTTATCTTAATGAATTATACTTCTGGAATCATATCTTCGTACCCTAATCTTCTCCATTACTGCTAATATACTTCTACTATCACTATCACTCTTGCATTTGAACTGACAGTTACGTCTCTATGCTGATGTGGTGGTATGGCAACCTGAACTAATGTACACTTATGTACGAAGTTCTGCGTTGTATCTGTCTGTCTGTAATAATAATAATAATAATAATAATAATAATAATAATAATAATAATAATAACAATGACATCACAAGATAGAATGTGATCATTCACAGACAAACAAAAAAGAAAATTGAAATAAAAACCCTTTAAAAAGACCAAAATTTAATAGAATACACTCCATCATCATTTGTAATTCCATTCACTTACTCATAATTAATTTCAAATAATAACAGTCAGCCAGTCAGTTGCAACGCAGAACTTAGTACATAAGTACGTAAGTTCATGTTGCCATACCACATTAGTACAAAGACGCAGATGTCAAATCAAATCCCATAGTGATTAAGATAGAAGAGGTATTAATGGTAATGAAGAAGACTAGGGTTTGAAGATATTATTCAAGAAGTGTAATTCAGTGAGATAAGGTTAGAAAGACAAAGGTAGAGGTGCTGACGATTCTAGAAGATTAGGATATGAGAGAGCTCAAACAATGGATGCACTTGCGCCATTGCAAACGATTCCCAGCCATGTCGCTCAAGGTCTCTAAACATTGGTGACTTTCGTCTCGCGGACCTAAACCAGGTAGTCTACATCTACCAACATGACTCAGTCCATTTGTCAGTGACTTCATGGATGTCTGCCACGTTTTCGTTTGGCCGCCCTTAGCTCTCCTCCAACCTACTCCTACACCACAAAACATAGCTCGTCGAGGCAGTCGGTGGTTAGCCATACGTAACACATGTCCCAACCACCTCAACTGATGAAGTTTCACCACTTCATCTATTGATCTGCCATCCTTACCTTGCACCCGTTTCCTAACGACAGCATTGCTTACTCGGCTGTCCCACGATATACGAGCAATAATGCTTCTTAAACATCTATGATCGAATACTAGTAACCTACGAACATTTTCTACTCTTATCTAACACTGATGAGGAGAAGAAAAAAAAATCGTTTAATAATAAAATACACTCCATCATCATCATCATCAGTTTTTTTCTGTAATTTCATTCACTTACTCATAATTAATTTCATATAATAACAATTCAATAATCGATTGGAATAGACCACATTCAATGCATAAATAAACATTATGTCTAGCCCATGTAATTTGATCTTCTTCCAAGTCACAATCACCAAAATTTCCTTGTAATAAATATAATAATGATCGTGTAGCTGTTTGACGTATGTTGACATTACCACATTCTAAATTATTTAATAAACGTTGAATATGTGAATGACGTTCAACAGTACTAGCTTCAAACCATTTTACTGGTACTGAAAAATTGAAAAATAGAACATATACATACATATATATATATAGATAGATAGATAAATAACACTTTGCAAGTGTTCCCAGTTTGAAAAGTTCAATGATAAATACATTAGTAGCAGCCAGTTAGTCAGTCAGTCAGTTACAATGTAGAACTTCGTACATGTACGTACATCAGTTCATGTTGCCATACCACATTAACACAGAGATGCAATTATCAATTCAAATCCCATAGTAGTAGAGGCAGTAAAAGTATTAGAAGTAATCGCAAAGATTAGGGTTCAAAGATGTTATTCAAGAAATATAATTCAGTGAAGTAAATTTAAGGAGAGAAAGTGATCAAGAATTCAGGTTAGAATTTCATAGAACATAAAAGGTAAATGCACCTGCGCCATTGCAAACGATTTTGAGCCATGCCGTTTAAGGTCTCTAACCATCGGTGACTATCGTCTCGCCGACCCCAAACAGGTAGCCTACATCTACCAACATGACTCAATCCACTTGTTTTGGTATGACCGCCCCTAGCTTTCCTCCAATCTATTCCTATACCGCAAAATATAGCTCGACGAGGCAGTCGTTGGTTAGGCATACGCATCACATGTCCCAACCACCTCAACTGATGAAGTTTCAATACTTCATCCATTGATCTGCCATCCTTACCTAGCACCCGTTTCCTAACGACAGCATTGCTTACTCCGTTGTCCTAGGATATACGAGCAATGCATCGGAGACACCTATGATCGAAGACTAGTAACCTACGAATGTCCTCTTCTCTCACCGACCATGTTTCACATCCATAAAGTAGCAGGGACCGAACTGCTGCACAGTAGACTCGTCCTTTGGTTGGCAAACGGATATCTCGCCTGTGTCATAAGTGATGTAAGTTGGCAAAGGCCAGTCGAGCTTTCTGTATCCATGCTGAGATTTCGTCATTCACCAGGCCATTAGCACTGATGAGACCCCCCAGATAAGTGAAGCGGTCAACACGTTCAACTACTTCACTCCCTATCACTGGTTCAGGTGTTAATGCAACCCAATCTTGAGGCAACACTTTGCATTTCAAGGGGAAAAACCGCATCCCGAACTTGCTTGCATTGTTGCTCAGCGTAGTCAGAAGACTTAACATTTTATCAGCGTCTTCATCGAATAGAACTATGTCATCAGCATATTCTAAGTCAATCAGTGAACCTCCTTGGTATGGTTAACATACATTAAATACACAGGAGAGATCAGCTATAGAACATTAACTTCGATAAAACGCATTATATCATGAAGATAATAAAAGGAAAACAGTAAAAAATCATTGGTCATCAACTCAAAACATCTAACGAGCAATCTTTAACAAAATATAATCATCAAAGATATCATTTACAAGACGAGTGAATAAAAAAATTTGACAGTATAAACTAATACTTACCAAATTTATGAAATTCTTTTTCAAAACATTCACGATTTTTATGAAATTCTGGCTCTTCAGAATAACTATATAATTCTATAACAAGTAAATAATTGAGTATTTTTTTACCAGCAATTTCTACACTGTATTCATCAGTATCATTATAAACGAAATTCACATCGGTATTCTGTTCAACAGTTGGCTAAAATGAATATTTAGAAGAATATGGAAGATTTTTGTTTTACAAAGAGAAAAAAACCTACATCTTTTTTATCGATATCTTCAATTGGACAGTCCATTTTAAAGAAAAAATTGAAGATATTTTCAAAATGATAATAAGTAGAATTATAAATTATACAGTTAATAGGATAATTCTTTTGACGGATATAATTTGAGAACAATAGATGTATACTTGTGAGTTCTTAAAGTGTTTATCAGAATATTGTAGTATAAGTATAGATTGAAAAAAGACAGATGTAAGCATGCATTAAATCATCCGTTGTACTATTCTGTCTTCTTCATCAAAAAACATTGATTGTAACTGTAAGAATCAGTAAATACAAAAAATACAAGAATTTAACACTCTTTACTAATTAAATAGTAACATGGAGACATTAATATGAGAATTAGAACAAGAGTAGTGTAGTAATTATTAGCAAAGTTAGAATTGCTGAGTGTGAATACTATTGAATTTTTATATTTTGAAGTCGTTTAGTATTTGCCTAACCACCGACTGCCCCGACGAGCCTTGTTTTGTAGTGTACGAGTAGGTTGGAAGAAAGTTAGGGGCGGCCAAACCAAAACATGGCACAAATACATGAAATCATTGACGAATGGACTTAGCCATGTCGGTAATTGTCGACTATCTGGTTGGGGTCCGCGAGATGATAATAATCGATGGTTAGAGACCTTGGATGACCTAGCTCAAAATTGTTCGCAATGGCACCGGTGCATTTATTCTTTGTGTTCTCTCAAATCCTAGTCTTCTGGTTTCTTCAACTCTGTAAACTTTTTCCACTGAATAATACTTCTTGAATAATATCTTTTAATCCTAACCTCTCCGATTACTTCTAATACCTTTACTACCTCTTCTACTATTGGATTTGAATTGACAATTATATCTCTGTGCTGATGTGGTATGGCGACATGAACTGATGTACTTACGTACGAAGTTCTACGTTGCATCTAACTGACTGAGTCGTTTAGTATTAATACTTCTCAAAGAAGTTGAACAAACAAGATCTGATAACATGGGTTCATGAATTGTGATTGTTTAATTGATGTCATCATTTTAAAGCACTGGATGCAATGATCTAAAGTGTACTTCATGTTAATGAAGTGAAGTTAGAACTGTCAGTACTCTTATTTGTGATAGTATAAATGTATTTAAGGAAACACAAAATCAAGCCAGTAAGCTAAAACTTTAAGATGAATCAGATGACTTACTTAGTTGAACCAGATTGCATTTAAACCTTAATCTCAACTAAAGCGAGATAATTGCTACAAGGAATTACTAGTACTAGATTAATAATGCATTAGCTGTGCAGTGTGATAAAGGAATGTGAGAAGAGTTAGTTGTGGAGATAAGAGAGGTATTAGGGGTGTGTAGGAAGGATTTGATCTTGACCAATTTGGTCTTGTGTGCTGTTACGGGTATGAGGGAGATTGTCACTTCCCGGCTGCCCACACCGTGGAAGGTTGTTTCTTGAGGGACCTGAAAATGAAGATAGATTAGTGTTGGTCTTGGAGACCTGGTTGCGTGACCTCAGAGTCCAAGGGGCAACTGCTTGAGGCCAGTCACGCACGGCCTTTTGAAGAAAGGATTTTTGAGTATTAGCTCCGCTCTTTTTAAAAGATCTTAGGGGGCACTCTTACCGATGGAGACGGAAATCCGTGAGGTAGGGTGAGGTGTGACATTTTTAGGGTCGACCTTTTCTAACCCTTCCTTCCTTGTGAGAAGGCAGCATCGCTGCAGATGCTGGTTGTCCGAGGGAAACACCTTACTGCTGTCACACCCCTCTGCAGTCAGCAGTACGACTTCGCCCTCAGACCTTGGGTAGCTGCTTTTAGTCTCATCGTTCTCCAATCGACCAGCCTGGCATGGTAGGACCTGCAGGAACATATATGGATAGTAATGTGATTTCATTCACAATACAGCACTTAAACAAAGAAACTGCGGCTCCTAAATTGTTCCGCTAAGACGGAACACCATTTGAAAAATACTCATAAACCGCATCTAAATAAGCCAACTGTACGATTTCACTTGACTGTAATCAATGTATGTAAGTCTATGGGAACGATAGGTATACGATTCTAAGCATTCTTTAAAGCATCCAACCTGTTGAAAGACATTTTTATGCATAGAAAGTTGGAACATTAGCACCTTTTCATTGCATTTCTGTAATAGATGCAGATTTAAAGTCCTATTTGGTCAGAAACTTTAACAATGGACTGTTTGTACTCTGTATTCTGCTCCTCTGTAGATAATTGGGACCGACGTATGGAATATATGCAACTTGAGTGAGTGGGCAATTATCAGTAAATTTAAGCAAAAAATAGACAATCAGGTGACATTTCAATTAGTAGTAAGAAAGAAGAATATGTGGCATCATATATGTATGCAGGCAAAAAAATGACTTTGAAGTGTTTCCCTTTTAGTTTCTTATCCATTTCTTGAAAATGTACTCTTTCAGAATAGATTTCTGGTTTGTTTAGTAATCTGGAAATACAAGGTATCATATTCAACTGACAGTTATATTATGTAATATTTTGCCACTAGAATTAAACCGTAAGAAGTGGTAAATGACACTTGTACAACCGTACTCTTTGAAGCGATTCACGTTAATCAAAGGCACCTTTTATACTAAGGAAGCATCACGAGTAGCCTGGGTAGGAAGAACTTGAAAAAAAAACAAATTGTGAGCCAATGACCTATCAAGGCGATTAATTTTATGGAAGATAGTAATGAAAAATAATCTGTTATCACGTAAGCTTTAGATTCAGTGAATCTCGAAAGCAAAACTAGGACCAAATATCAAAAGAAATGTAGTCGTTACTATCCAAATCCTTTAGACTGTACCATAAACTTTAAATTTCGCTCACACGACCCAATACATTTCGAAAGAAGCGGGGATTATATTTCCAACATCTTCACAACAAGCCTCTATAAATCAGCTGATTTGTTTTTTCTCACTTATTGTTTCGGCACGGTTTCCAGTATTTGTTAATGTCCAATAAATGGTCGCCTATTTACTTGACTGCACTAATTCTAGTCAGTTGACAGCTATTTGTGAATTGGTATGTTCCGTGATTTGCCTGAGTAAATTTGCCGCAGGTCAGTAAGGTTTCTGGATATCACACTAACACACCAGAGGTCATTTAGCTGCAATGTGGTGAATAGTGGAAGGAAAATTCTAATGCTATGAGTGGAGGAAATTTTCAGAATTGGAAATGAGAGCTAAGAACAAATGTGAGGTGACTGCACAAAGTTGTCTCTCCATAAAGTGAGGAATTGCTTTGGCTTTAATTGCACTCCATATGTAGCATGAGGTTTTGTTCAGGGTCTCTGTCATTACAAGATGGAGATCTTAATCCGAGAAGACATTACACAGTGGACTTCCATTGAGTATATAAGTTGGGTATAAGTTGGCAAAATGTTCATGACGTGACTTTTTGACTAGTAAATTCTTAGTCCGTTGTCCATTGCTCAATCTTCCATCGCTGTAACGTCCTTTCAAAGCTCCGTTGAATCCTTACCAATTATGATGGACCTCCACATCTTTGCGTCGTCTACACAGATTAGTGCCGTGAAGCTACTTTTATCCCCCAAGTCATCGACAAAAATCAGGAAGAGGAATGGAACTAAAACGGTCACCTGAGAAACCCCTGATTTTGAAACTCGCCAGCTCAGACGTATTCTAGTCACCTCGTTACGAAAATTTTGTTCTCAAAGAAGTTTCTCAGTCAATATAGCAGTGGAAAAAAGAAGTCAATTTAAGCAACCCATGCAATTGGTAGAATGTGAATTGATGTATCGAAAACTTTTGCGAGATCAAGAAATATTATATGAATAGCTATTTTTCCGTAGCAACATTTTCTCTGGCTGTCCCATGCGATGAGGAAATAGGATGCACATGACTTTCCCTTCTTTTACTTGTGTTCAGCTTCGTAGAGGATTCTGTTCTTATCCATGAACTCCCTCATTTTCTGATTCACCAGTCCTCCGATTACGTTCGACAGTATTGGAGTTAATTCGACTGTTCTGTAACAAGCTGGGTACTTCCTATCCTCTCCTTTGAACGTTTTTGAGTGAGTAGCTGATTTCCACTCAGCTGTGCTTCCAGCGAATGCCTGAACAGGTCGCAAATCGGTGAACTTAGGGCTCCTGCTCACTGTTACAAAACTGTAGGGTGACTATAGACACATTTTGATGACTTTCCTGGGCGCAGTGATTTGAAATTTCTTAGTACTAAGTCGGGGGTAATTCGTGTATATCCTGGACCGTAAACTATTACTAGGTTTGAGCAGTAGTCTGGACGTGTAGAAACCTGTTTTCACTGACGGGTGAGGTTGGTATTCCAGATCTCAGCCATCTCTATGTTGGTAAGATCTTCGTAATTTTAGCCTTCAAGTATACAAACACTCTGGTTCATAGGTTCTATTTTAGTCATGAACCTTTGGCGTGTCGAATGAAAGTTGATTATGACCATCACTACAGACCAAGTACATGCCCGTCACAGAGAAAAGACCTGGATTCATACAAAAGAATACATAGGCTGGCGAATTCGTAGTATTGAAAGAATACTGAAATCGTGCCAGAAAAGAGGGGCGAAATCAAAGAGACAGTGAAGCCAAAATGTAAGCAACACAAACAGAAAGTTTGCACGTACAGAGTGGAATAGACAAGAAGTACAATAAAACAATCACTGGTAAAATTGGTTAAAGTAATGAATGTTTTTATTGAACCAACCGCCTTCTCTTCATAAAATTAGATCACAAAAACCTAGGCAGATATTTTTGGTTTGCTTGTGTTTGGTAGCCAGCTCCGTTTGGAAGTATCTCCCGTCGCTTCGAACCTAGGCATTGAATCGCCGAGTTATAACTATGTTCGAAATCCTTCAGAACCATCTTCCACTTGTTCTAGACTCTCATTTTAGTTTGTTGCATGTGTTTGGTGCCTTGCCTAATACACGTTCTTCTCTTTTTAGGGGTGTGATTTGTCTGAGGTTCATTGTGTGTGACAACATTCTGAATTGTATATCTCATTGTTTGCCAGTGACCCTCTACTGTTATTAAGAAA